GCACCTCAACCCCAGCCCTTGATCGCGAAGGCAGCAGACGAAACAGTGTCATCATCTTCAGGCCAAGTTCTGCAAAATAAGAATTCAAACATCCTGTGCCTCGTCTCCCAACAGTATCCGCCTCAGACATAATTAATCATTTTTCGTTTAACCTCCTATTCATATTTACACTTAATTCACTTCAAATCAGAGAATTCATGCAAACGAGTGTTTATGTATTCTACCATTTTCATCAGTACTTCACCGTACAAATGCAGACCTTAACACCTCAGTTACTACCGAAACATTATCTTTGGTAACATTTACATTTCTCCATCTTGTTCCAATGATCATTTTAACGAGTTCACATATATTGATTTCGCCGCTTTACTGAATTACGTTTCTCCTCCCTTTGCACCTTGTGTGGTGACTTCATTTTTTGATGTAACGTTTTTGACAACCCTTGGACTACAAAACGTTGTTAACTTTCCGATCAAACTGGGGGCTTGTCTTGATTTGTGTTCCATTAACGACCTGATTTTATTTAACCCGCGCAGCCGTTCCCCTATTGGCACCTCTGACCATGCAATACTAAAACCCTCCCCTGATCTACAGTAGATCCAATCAACAGTTATACACTCGACATCGTGATCGTCGTCTCCGTCGGCGTCAATGTCAACTCGAAAATTTCACCAAACTAAGAGATGTACTAGATCAGAGAGATTTATCTTCATTTATACACAATGACCACTCCATATGTTGTGATACCCTGACTGAATATTTGAAGTTCTGTTATGATACGTGCTGCCCGTGGGAAACTTTATACGTACAATCAGACCGCTTTTCGTCCGCTACACTTAAACGATTGCGTCGGAAGCAAGAGCAATCTTTCAAAGCCAGATATGCTCTTTGATGAGAGACCATTCGAAAGCAATCAAGGCTGAACTGCGGAGAGTAAACGTCGCTTGTATACATGCACTGCTGACAAACAGAAATTGTTGGGATACTTGGAAAATGATGTTTGAGTTCTGCGGTCTCAAAACGAAGAAGAATCTTCCAGCTGCCAATGTGGACGCTCTCAATCGCCAATTCAGCAATGCTGAAACCGCCATTCCTATTCCATTCACAGCAGTGGTCCCTGCTCCTAATTAATTTATAAATTTAATTGCTGAACAAACTGAAGTATTCAAAACCTTCATCAACCTGAAGTCTAACAAAGCATGCGGTCCTGACGGACTGCCATCTGTTGTGTTCAAAGGATGTGCAGCCTCCCTTTCCCCTGTTTTCACCAACCTACTCAACCTGTGTTTTACTAAACATTGCATTCCGGCCTGCTGGAGAGTGGTTTCTATCACGCCAGTACCTAAAAAGGGACCCTCCAAATTTCGCCCGATTGCTTGCATTTCTGTGGGTTTGAAAGTCATGGAGAAGATTCCATTACAAAAGATGTTGCCCCAGCTGAATGCACCAATGCATCAATTTCTTACTGCTGTTCTAAGTCAACCATTGATGCGCTGGTATCCCTCATTCATTATATCTTTTCCTTCTTGGACAGGAAATGTAAAGCTGTTCGGGTATGTTTCTTTGTGTTAATAGGTCCAAACTTCTTCACACGCTTTCTGAGAAAGGCATTCAGCAGGAGCTTACAAATCTGTTAAGTAATTATTTTACCCATCGATCATAGTTCACCAAATATTAGGGTCGTAACTCTTCACTTTTACCCTCCACTCAAGGAGTTCTTCAAGGAGCTATTGTCTCTCCCTTCTTGTTCACCACCTATATTTCTTCAATGCCTGCTTTTGATGATTATCTGCTCATGAAGTATGCCGATGCTGTTGTGCATGGCATGATGTTTCCGAATTCCTTCATGTACCCCAAACTTATGCAGAATATCTCACTGCTCACCGACTGGTCTTCACATCACAATCTTAGAATGAATCCTTCCAGGTGTAATGACGTTTTATTTTCTTTACTGAAGGATGATCAATATATTTATTTGATGAACTCTTGTCAGCATGCCATTATCAATGGTAAACAAGTTTCCAGAGCATGCTCCATCAAATATCTTGGAGTCACCATTTCCCGTAATCTTTCTTGGTCTCCTCATATCATCGACACATTTCACAAAGTCAGAAAACTCACCTTTTACATTATTATCTACCCCAACTCACTTAATAATGCATTTTGTTTTATCCTGTAAATTTCACCACTGGCTTTATGCATCCCGTGTTATTTTTTGGGTCTTTTAATCAAAGACTTCGAGCTCATGCGCACATCCATCAAATACGTGTGTCGATACAGCGGCATATCCCGTGAGTGTGTTGTGCAATTTATCATTTCACAGCACCTTATGGCATGCCCGAAACGTTCTACCAGAATACTACTTGACCCATCTCACCCACTGTATCCGCACCTTAGTCATTGTATCTCCACATCTAGCACTCGTTCCATGTAAAAGCATATAGCAGCACGCACCACTACATACAAGTCTTCTATAATACCGTACTTGGCACGGTTTCTTACCAACGCTGATCTTGTCATTGAGACTCTTGAACAAAATCTTTGCTAAACTGGATTTTGTATATGTAACGCATCATCATACTCTTTTTACCATGTAATTTCCAAAGAAGAGGGATTGTGTAGTAGCTGAATGTTCATCCCGAGATGGGTAGAATTAAAGCCGCTTCTTGACTCTGACTTTGATTACCGCAATCCGTTTATGCTTCATCCCTACCCTAATTGTTTTAATCGTGACCTGAGCGCTCACATTTGACTCGTTCGATTGCAGTGTGACGGCAAGAGTGCTTTTCTTGTCAAGCCTAATATCTCCCGTTCAGATCCCTTGAAGTACGCTCACGGGAACACTTGGCTCTTGTTTTCAAGTTGTTCTGAGATCACTTTTGAGGTTTGTACCTATTTCATTTATGCAGCACCGTAGAACTTTGCTGGATCAATCGTTTTTATTGATCTTCTTGGATCCAATTTGTCCATAGGGGATGACACGGCGTTTCAAAAAGATAGTTTCTCCCCCAACTTCCAGTTTGGCCAGTCGAACTTTCATGCCTCCTGTGTTATTTGAACATTGCACAATCAGTCGCTGTATACGGGTGTGCACATTGGGCAGGGAACTCGTATGGAGCGACATAGAATGGTTCAGAGTGTGAATTGCAGTTAGGCCAAGTATGGATCGACTCTTTTTCGCAATAATGAAGCGAATTGGGACAAGGCGATTTTCTGTTGAGTGAACCATCAATGAAACCTCGCCAATCAATGGTAATCGGTGTCCAGTTACACCAAGAATTTGCATGGATGTTGGTTGGATTTTTGCTTGGAGGCATATGGATCGAAGCACAGCATTAGACATAATAGATTCCGTACTTCCCTTGTCAACAATGAATTTGTGAGTTGTAACAGACTGTAATGTCACATCTCGGTACAGAAATTGGGTGACTGGGCCTTCTTAACGTAGAGAAAGTACAAAGTGTGCGTCGTTTGAAGCATTTGGCTGTGTAAGATTGCAAAGAGTTTGTTTACATACTCTCCGAATGTGACCAATTTTTCCGCAAGCATGACATTTGGCATTAAGAAAGCGGCAATTGGAGCGTAGGTGGTGAGCTCCATAAGACGAACATGGATTGATTCGTTTTTCATTACCTGGGGAATCTTTCTGCGGCTTTGGTGCACGTTTGGCCGTTGGAGGTCGATTCGGTGGAGGCGGGTACCGAGGATTTGCCGCATGTGTGGCAACAACTGGGACGGGATGCAGTCGCTGATTTGGACGTCCCCGAACAACTCATCCAATCGGCGGTGCGGGTGATTAACGCTTCCCCCAACTGAGTGTATGGGTCATTCTCAGGCATGACGATGATAAATTCAAACACCTGTTCCGCTATGTCTGTGGGCAGGGAAGTGACTATGTTGGATTACATAATCGTTTGGGAGCGGATGAGGTGGGCACCGAAATGGGCTTTGGCTTGGGCGAACCATAGCCGGGGGTTGGTAGTACCAAATGCGGGCAACTTGATGTGAAAAGACATGGGAAGGTCCTCTATGTCCAGTTTTGATTGTTCCATGTTTGACACTTATGGTAAACGAGCAAATAAAATAAAGTGAAATTCCTGAAGAACCGTAGAAAAATATAAAACTAGAAATAATACAATCACGTTGGGCTCAGCAAAAAATGTAGTGGAAAAGGTAATACATATACAATTATTATTAAATAAAGTGTACATGGAAAGGACTCACCGAAGGATTGTCTGGCTGATTGATTGGTCCTGTTCTTTAAGTGTATGGCTCCGGTTGATAGTGTGCGGTATGGCTGAAATAGATGGCTGCGACAGTTAATGGATCGCTTGACGATGACTGATTATGTATGCGTAATGCTTCAGCAACATTCGGATAACACGTGCGCAGTTACGGATATAAATTTGTATTGTGGTTTTACTTGTGCATATTAAAAGAAGCTGTAAAATCATGCCATTTAAAAGTGGATGGAACAGCAAGACACTACACCCTCACTCAAACCTTGGTCCTCGCAGGTTTATCCCTTTTATGATTTAATTGCTGGAGAGACTGCACACCAAGTGGCTCACAGATAGCACCTATCATCATGCACGAAGTGGAATCAGTGTCCGCAGGTCGGGACATCCGAGCCTGCTTACCCTATTCTAACAGAACAGGAATTTCATTTATCCTATTTTCGCAGCACCGGGGAATCCAAGGAGCTCACCAGTGCAAGAACCTGGACATTATGGCAATCACCGTCAAGAGCCTGGATACCAACTGAACTGAACTAGGAGCACTCACTAACTTCAAACCGCGTGCGAACGTAGCGCAGGTAGGGAATTCCATACAGATCTTTCAGTCCACGAGAATGAACCCAAAAGAAAAGATAAAAAGCATTTGATTTAGGATTAGTCTTTAACGTCGCAACTAGCCTGCCAAGTTTTCTCCCGTCTGGATATCGCTTCTTCTTCGGTGGTTTGTTTTAACGGTTAGCTTTAGCCATTGGAGTTTATGCGATGTCCCGCGGTCGCGAACACGGAACGAAGGTTTACATTGGGGACCTTCCCCGGGAGGCGTCCGAGCGCGAAATAGAACGCATTTTTCGCGATTACGGGCGTCTAAGAAATGTTTGGGTAGCTCGCAACCCCCCAGGATTCGCATTTGTGGAATTTGAAGATCTCGCTGACGCTCAGGATGCGGTTCGTGAGCTCGATGGAACGTATGTTAACTTTTCATGATTCCATATTTTTAAATGCAGGTTAATGTGCGGTGTCCGTGCGCGAGTGGAAATCAGCAGCGGGAAGTCGCGGCAGAAACCTTGGCTTCGGGGCGGTGCTCGTGACGGTGGTCGCGATGGCTATGCTGGCCGAAGAGCAAAGCCCTTCGATCCTTCGGACCGTTGTTACGAATGTGGTGAACGCGGACACTATGCTTATGACTGTCGTCGTCGTAATGGTGGCGGTCCCGGATTCGGCAGGCCTGGTCCGCGTCGTGGAAGATCGAGGTAATTTAACTACAAATTGTCGACACTATCCTATGAGCGACTAATCCATCTGCTATGGTCGTGTTGTTG